AAGATTTTATTTATTTATTTGACAGAGACACAGCGAGAGAGGGAACACAAGCAGGGGGAATGGGAGAGGGAGAAGCAGACTCCCCGCCGAGCAGGGGAGCCCGATGCGGCGCTTGATCCCAGGACCCTGGGATCATGACCTGAGCCGAAGGCAGATGCTCAACAACTGAGCCACCCAGGCGCTCCTCCTGTACACTTTTTATATCATTAAGGTCAGGATATTTACAGCCCTGTGTCTGGGTTTTGTTTTTTATTTTTTTTAAGACTTAATTATTTATTTGTCAGAGAGAGAGAACAAGCAGGGGAAGTGGCAGGCAGAGGGAGAAGCAGGCTCCCCTCTGAGCAGGGACCCCATGCGGGACTCGATCCCAGGACCCTGGGATCATGACCTGAGCCAAAGGCAGACGTTTAACTGACTGAGCCACCCAGGTGTCCCTCCTCAACTTTTTGACATCAGTATCTAAGCATGTCATTAAAAACTTCATAAGCATTATTTAATTTTGTGAGAATTAGGATGAATGGAAATTATTTACATGCTATGTCCCATTGTATTGTTTAGGAAGCTTCCAATAACATTCTAATATGAGGGTGGGTGCATTTTCTTTCTCTTAGGGCAAATAGAGAGCAACTCTTTTACTGAATTTCTAGTTAGTGTCAGGTTTCTCTCCCTTTTCATTGTACCCCAGGCAAGAGTGTCAACCTTGTTTTTTTCTACAGCCTGTAGTAAAATGTTCAGGGGCCTGACACCTTGATTTGAATATGGATTACTGTATTTAAGTGCTGATCTTATGTTGCTTACTGCTACTTTCTCAGCCTGAAAGACCTCTGCTTTCTTCCCTTTCTCTTTGAAGTGGCTTGAAAGGGAAGTGCTGTCACCAGAAGCAGGCCATCGTTCCCGGAAATAGAACCTGAGGTTAATGCTCTGAGGTGACAGAACGCAGAATGTGCTGAGGTCTAGGTAGTTGATGAACTGGTCCAAAATAGGGATGTTATTTTAGAAATATATGGTTTCAAATAGTTTTTCAGTACAGGTTTGAATCAGTATTTTGAAAGCACAAAACTGAACTCTGTAGTAGCTGTAGATGTAGTTTTTTCTGGGCAAAATGCCCACTGCAACAGCATAATTGAACTGACTCTCCAACTACCTGATAGGCATCAAGCTTGGAAATAGTCTCTCCTAATATTCTCTCTCTGCATGTGTTGTTTTATGTCAGATTTTGACTCCTAAACTTCATGAAAATACAGCCTCTGCCAGTTAGGTGTATATTTAATCAGGGTAAATGTTTGTCCCTGATATTATTTGTAGAATTTTAAGGGATTGTCCCATTAACCTCAAATTCCTGTGCCTTCTGTGGCATTCCCATCTGCTAAATAACAGTCCCCCCCTCAAAGAAAGTGTTCATGCTAGTGAATAGAAATGATGGTTTATTTTTTTTGAGAGAGTGTGAGCAGGGGAGGGGCAGAAGGCAAGGGAGAGGGAGAATCTTAAGCAGACTCCACACTCTGGGCAGGGCTCAATCTCACAACCCTGAGATTATAACTTGAGCTGAAACCAAAAGTTGGATGTTCAACTGACTGAGCCACCAGGTGCCCCTATCGCTCTCTTCTTTTTTTTTTTTTTTTAAGTTCCAGTCAGCCTGAATAGGATACTGTGTACAGAATAAGTAATAGCTGGAAGGAAGAGGGTGGGCCCGTGGTTGGCCATGCCTTAGAAACAGTGTTTTCTGCAGATTGGCAGAATCTGCTTCACCTGGGAGCTTGTTAGAAATGCAAGTGCTTGGGGCACCTGGGTGGCACAGTCAGTTAAGCGTCTGACTCTTTGGCTCAGATCATGATCTTGGGGTCATGGGATCTAGCCCCTTCATCGGGCTCTGAACTCAGCACGGAGTCTGCTTGGGACTCTCTCTGCCTCTCCCTTTCTAAAATAAATAAAGCTTTAGGGTGTCTGGGTGGCTCGGTTGGGTGTCTGCCTTTGGTTTGGGTCATGCAATCGAGCCCTGCATCAGGCTCCCTGCTCTGCAGTGAGGAGCCTGCTTCTCTCTCTCCCTCTGCCTGCCGCTCCCCCTGCTTGTGCTGTCTTTCTCTCTCTCTCTGTCAAATAAGTGGAATCTTTAAAAAATAAATAAATAATAAAATAAATAAATCTTTAAAAAAAAGAAAAAAACAAGTTCTTGGGGTACTTGGGTGGCTCAGTCAGTTAAGCATCCAACTCTTGATTTCGGCTCAGGTCATGATCTCAGGGTCATGAGATATGGAGCCCTGCCCTAGGTGTAGCGTCTGCTTAAGATTCTCTCTCTCCCTCTGCCCCTACCGCCCGCCGCCCCACACACATGCTGTCTCTTAAAAAAAAAAAGGAAAGAAATTCAAGTTTTCGAGCCCCACCCCAGGCCTATTAAATCAGCATCTCTAGAGCAGAAACCCAAGAATCTGAGTTTTAATGAGTCTTCTGGGTAATTCCAATGTGTGCTGACAAAACCCTACTCTAGAAATCCTTGCACAAGTGAGAATAACCAGGGGTGCCTGGGTGGCTCAGTCGTTAAGCGTCTGCCTTCGGCTCAGGTCCTGATCCCAGGGTCCTGGGATCAAGCCCCACATTGGACTCACTGCTTGGCAGGAAGCCTGCTTCTCCCTCTCCCACTCTCCCTGCTTGTGTTCCCTCTCGCTCTCGCTCTCTATCAAGTAAATAAATAAAATCTTAAAAAAAAAAAGTGAGAATAACCAGCTGTAAATATTTATGAAGTGAGAGACAGCCTCACCAAGTCCAGCTTTGAGAGGAAAGTGGCTGACCAAGTGAGTTGGCCAAATTCAACATCACCATCTCATTGGAGAAATCCCCTTAGTTGTAGAATGAAGATAATATTGGGCTGAGAGGGAACTTAGGAAGCATGGTACCCTGAGAAGTTATGTTCATGCTGTTTGAGGACTCTGAAAGTAACATTCTTCAGGTGGAGGCAGAACCATAGTTGAAAACAGTGGTTAATTTCACTGTCACCCCTAAAGGGAAATTCTCAACCTGGGCCTGAATTCTCAACCTAAAGGCCAGGCTCCACATCTTACTGATGAGTAAGTATTAAATAAATAAATCTTTTCAGATTTATATCCAAGGTTATTTCTAGGATGTAAGTCTTCGTATAAGAGTGCATTGAGGAGGGGCACCTGCGTGGGTGGCTCAGTTCGTTGAGCGTCTACCTTCTGCTCGGGTCATGATCTCAGGATCCTGGGATTGAGTCCCGCATCGGGCTCCCTGCTCAGCAGGGAGTCTGCTTCTCTCTCTCTGACCCCTCCCCAGTGCTCGTGCTCTCTCTCGCTCTCTTTCTCAAATAAATAAATAAATAATCTTAAAAAAAAAAAACAACAACCAAAAACCCAGACTAAAATGTTAAAAAAAAAAGAGTGCATTGAGGAAACCTACACTTGGTTGCAGTTAAACATTAAGTTAAGGAACCTAAAATTCAATCCTGTCCTGTTTGAAAGGGCTCAGGGATTTTCAGAGCATGTCCCCTAAGGATAAGTACCAGCTGACTTACGTATTTTTCCTCTTTTAGATGGCAGACTGTGGTGGACTGCCCCAAGTAGTGCAGGTAAGGAGGGGCTTTGTTGTTGTTGTTGTTGTTGCTGTTGTTGTTGTTCTTGTCTTTTTTTAAAGCACTCATTTGATTCTGCCTCTCTGTGTGTGCAAAGATTAATACCTTCTTATTTTGTCTCCCAGCCTGGAAAGCTCACCGAGGCCTTCAAGTACTTTTTGCAGGGAATGGGCTACAGTGAGTAGTATGAAACTTCTTTCTAGCAAAAATTTAATGATAGTGGGGTCATTTTGACATCTGAGGAGCACACATTTCTCAGGGCATAACCTCTGTGCTAGCCAGCCTGAAGTCAAGTAGAAACCAAAATGTTTATGGAGCATTCATCTCTGCATAATAAGGTTAGCTGACACTTATTAAGCACTTACCTTGTGCTGGGCATTCAGTGTTTATAACCTTAAGAGGTAAGTTCTGTTTTGGTCCTATTTTATAGAAGAAGAAACTGAGGTTCAAAGAGGCTAAGCACATTTCCCAGGGTAACAGTTCACCTGCAGAACCCTAGCAGTCTGACTCCAGAGCCCATGTTTTCAACCACTGAGGCTTAGGCTTTCCTAAGCTTGTGAATCTGAAATTATGATTTGCATTTGAACTCAGCTGGTAATGACTCATGGCCTAGAGAAACAAAATGGAGACTTCAGAAGAAAAGGGTAGTGTCCTCAGTTACATCCGCCCCACCACAGGAAATGAACTTGCACAGTAGTTTAGAGCGAGTCCAAGGATGTGTCCATATCGTGTGCCACTGTCCTGGTCTCTTGTATTGTGAGACCCCTGAGCTTTCTCATTTGTCACAGACTATCCACACTTGCTCCTTTCTTGGAATTTTTAAGGAGAAAAACTCTTCAACCCAGGTACAGAGCTGTTTACCCAGGAGAATGATTTTTTTTCCTGTCTTTGGTTTAAGTGTGGAAAATGGCCGTTGAACAGCTGCCTGGGCAGCAGCTGACCCCTGGATATAGCCCTGTGCCTGGCGGGCAGACTGTGTATGTTTCGTCTAGAGTGGCTGTGTCATCCCCGTCTGTGAGCCACTACCAACCAAGCCCACACCCACATCTCTCTGGCTCACTGGGAGGAGAAGTCCCTCTCCTAGCCAGTTCTCATCCCTTTCCTAGGAAATAGCTGATCTTCCAGCACATTTCTGATCCAAAACAGATGGCTGTTTATAGTGGAGGGGAAAACAATTGCCCTCGACTAGTTGAGAGAAGTAACATCTGAGATGCTTATAAAACATCAGTCAGCCTCAACTCTTCTCTGAGACCTTAAAATAAAACTCATCCCCAGCTCAGAGTATTCTGTCAGTGTTACTAGGCAGCCAAGGTTGCCACTTGGCACTCTTGGGTCACTAACCTGCCTTTTCCTGTGTCCATCCTGCTTCCAGTCCCGTATGTGCAGCTCAGTCACCTGAACACCGAGTCAGGTACCTCCTCCATGCTGGCCCCGCCCCTGCCTCCCAGCCACGCTCTCCTGGCTGCATTGGCTGCCTGCAGCATGTCCGCGGTTTTCCTGTGCAGTGAGAGCCCGATAGAACGGGGCTCGTTGTGCCCTGAGAGGGTTAGCCTGCAGGTCCAGCCCTGGTTCCCCAGAAGAAAGGAGCGGGTTGTAATAATCAGGCTTCCTCTTACCCAAACCCAGGGTCACAGCAGTAGCTGAAACTGTAGGCACGACCCCTCTTCCACCACCACCTACTCATCTTTGCATGAACCCCGGACACAGGAATTAAAGGGCAGCTTTGATTCTAAATAGGAGTGCCAGATCCTGTGTCTGGAAAACTACAGCAGGTGATGGCATCTTTTGACCCCAGCATTGAACTGACAGTTGGGGGAGTGGTCGGTGCCTCAGGAAGATAGGCAGGGAGGTTATGCCTGGTAAGGCCGTGTCCTGGCCGAGCTGGAAGGACCTTAGGATCAAAGCAGCTGTAGAACAGTTGTCAGTGAAACACTCACTCCCAGAGCCCTTCCCTCGCAGGCATCCTTTACCTTGCAGCCTGCATAGAGGTCAGTGCCAGGCCCACCTGCCCTCTCCTACACCCACACCTTCGTACGTGTCTCCTCCCCAGGTAGCAAGGGTAGCCTGTGGACACGGATGGTAGTCTTGTTGTATCGGGCTTGCACTGTGTTTGTGAAACACCTTCATACTTGGTGTGGTTTGTCTTTCTTTTGGTTTAGTCTTGCATGCACTGCAGGGTTTGGTTACCTATTTGGGTTCCCAAAACCTCTTTCCTAATCACTGTATGAATGGCGTGGGCATAGCTAAGAGGCTATACTCTGGACTTAGGTTTCCCCATGTTCTTCAGTGGACTAGAATCAGCCGAGATTCCAACCAGATCCAAAGGATTAAAGCAGCCTTGCATATAGCCATTCACCTAAGCAAATAATGCAAAATGGAGATGGCTATGTCTTGTCCTGGGTCTCACCTTAAATGGGTTGGGAAAGCTAAACAAAGCCTTTGGTGAAGTTTCTGGATTAGCTAAGCTTAGCCAGGGTACTATCTTCTAGTCCCATTGGTTCTTTCTTACAGTACCATCTGCCAGCATGACCCGGCTCGCCCGATCACGAACCCACTCAACCTCGAGTAGCATCGGCTCTGGAGAAAGTGCCTTCAGCCGATCTGTCACCAGCAATCAGTCAGATGGAACTCAAGAATCCTCTGAATCCCCTGATGTTGTGGACAGAGACCAGACCATGGAGGTGTCCTGCTAAGCAGATACTCCTCCCCTGGACCATGCAAGTCCACCCTCCTTCAAACAACCACTCCATAATATAACATTTCATCCAGGAAACTGGCATCTATCTTTAACTCCTGCATGGCCACTGACACTTTCTGGTATCTTGGATTTATCATTCTTTCTGCCTGCCCGCCCTCCTTTTTGTATGTACCAAGAATCACTTCCTTGCCATTACTGTAACATTCCAGCATCCTTAGCTGATCACATTTCCATATCTTCTCTTGCCAGCTTTTCCTCGTGCTTTCCGAACTACGTATCTGACAAGATTCTTTGATCCTGATGTATGTGTGTGAGCACGCGTGTCTATGTTTGTGTGTACATAGTTCTGTGATTTTAGATATGCTTTCTTGTAGAGCTTCTGCACAAAAAACAAAGGGGACCTTTTTTCTTTTTCATTTTCAATGGTGTTTTTAAGGGAAATAAACAGAACAGGTTTCTAGGTTGGGTAGGCCACTGCATTCTCTTGGTTCCGAAGTGGTCAACACGATTTGCAAAATGACTTCAGCAGCTCTGAGGAATGTGGAACCGATCGTGCTTACTGTTGACTGTGACCAATAGAAGGGAGCCTGTTACATAGAGAGGCAGACAGCGTGCGTGGCCAGCCACCTCCTTCTGTCCAAATGCATTCACATATGTTATTCTGTAACTTAAAGGGAGGGATATATTCTTTTAGAAGCCCATGAATGATGAGGTTCTGATGCAACATGGAGTTTTTCCTAAGTGAGTGTGGCATGATTACTGCACTCTCTTAGCACAGGAAGGTGGAAAACAACATGCCAGGCCTCTGCTCTGCCAGAGCAGAGATGCTGTCTCCGCAGTGTCTGATACCACTTACCAGATATCCACAAGAAGTGCCTCCTGGGTCTGGGATGAAGAGTGTTTCTCCACCCCTCACTGCTCTGAAAAAGGAGAGGTATGGCCTGAAAATGGTGTAGATGGTGAGGAACCAGCTGGGCGAAGAGGCACAGACCTCAACGGAATATCATGCGTCACAGGCGCAGCCTTGACTTCAGCTGACTTAGTGGAAGCGAAGTGAAATTGGTACAGAACCCATTTCTCAGAAAGATTCTTGACAGATAACTCTCAAAGAAGAGAGGGAAGGGGCCAGTCTCTAAGGGCAGCGTGCGCAGGTACAGTTGTGCTTAGTGGACTGCTGTGTGAGGGGCCACAGCCAGCCAGAGTATTGCTGGGAGGAGGACGAAACCAGCTGCCACACAGCAAGGGCCCCGCTCTTGTGGGCATCAGATGTAAGCTCAGGGTTACGCAGTTCTGAGTCTTAGGAAGGGGCTTTTCAGACATAGTGTTCGCTTTCTGCCGAGATAGGGAATGCATCACTCTGCCAGAGTACAACTTTTTACAGATTATTAAATAAAGCTGTATATGTCTCATTGTTACCCGATTCCTGGTATTTTTTCTTTCAAGCCACGCACTGGGGCTCGGGGTGGAACCAAGTCACTATATATGGGCTTTGTGCTGGGCATTTTCACATACTTGATCATTATTTCACCCAAGAAGAAATTAAGACTCTGGATAAATAATTTGCCCAAGGTCATACCAGTAAACCCATCCAGGTTTGAACTCCAAGCCCATCTGACACACCTCTATTCCTGTCAAACCAAAAATTGTGAGAAGCGTGATCATGCGGTTTATGGAGGAGGAGAGCTAAGGTCTCAGAAGGGCGTTCCGCATTTCACCCATGCCATCTATGTGGGGTTGCTGGGTCCCACCCCAATGTAGTAATCTGCAACCACTTGCCTGGGTTCCTCAAACAGGCCAGGCTGTATTTCTCCAGAAATGGCTCTCTTTGGACCCACCAGTGGTATCAGGAGGCCACCACCTTGGATCAGTCTTAAATGATCCAGGGGCTACTGCTACCATATAGTACATCAAGGTTGCTGTGTCTGTGGGAGATACTTGTAAAATGGCATAGAACCTGCTTGTTCTGGGAGAGGAGATGAAGCAAATACACGTGGACAGATACAGGTCACCAAGCTGAGTTCCTGACAATACAGGATAACGGTTCTTGAGCTGGAGGTGGTCTGATGGTCACAGTTGCTTTTAAAACCCACATCACTCCAGCCTTCATAAATTTACCTGACAGGTCACCTGCTTTCCCACCTTAACTCTGTGCCGGGAGTCAGGCCCCAACTGACTACACTTGACTGGTCCATACTATACTTTTTTCTCTCTTCATTTTCATTTCCTTGCTCCCTGTTTAGTCCAAAAACACTCGGGTGCCTGCCTTGTGAGAGTCAAGGAAGTGGCCAGGCAGACTATACAAGATGATTGTGTAAAGCTCTTCCATATAACTCATCTTACCCAGTTCTCATGGCACCCCTGCAAAGTGGTCAGGTCTGTTGTACAGACAAAAAACGGCTGAGGAGAGTTAAGTGTTTTGGTCAAGGTCACCTAGCCTGAAAAATTTCCCAGTTCTTCCAAAATCGATGCATTTTCATATTCAGCCTTTATTGAGCATCTACCGTAGGCTGGGGCCCTTTGCACCTTCCTGTAGGTTTCCTAATAATGGTCCAGTGAGGTAACATGCTAGTCCCATTTTATGGATGAGAAACCGGCCTAGAGGTAACTACAAATGGTCACACAACTAGTAAGCGGCAAATCTGGGAGTTTCTCAGGTGGCTTCTTGGACCTCACCTTGAGGCCAGTCTGAAAGTTTTTCCTGTCTGATAAGAAGGTAGACGTCAGAATGGTATGCAGACAGGAGCAGGAGGGTGGGCCTGTGCTCCGTCTCCTCCCTGCCATGGGCCACATCCTTGAGTGGCCATCACCCATTCTAACATCCTGATTAGAACTTCCTTACACAGGATGTGTCTCCATTCTGGCTTCTTCAGCTCTTCACACCAAGTACCCATGGAGTTAAGTATCAAACCAGCCTTCCCTGGGAGAAAGGGAGAACCTGAGCTGGAGTGTGCCCTAGCTGGCAGGGCCCCAGTAAAGGCTTCATAGTCTGAGCTGGAGTCAGGAGCTATTTCAGGGCCATTTTGTGTTAAAAAGCATGTCTCGGGGGTGGGGGTGGGGGTCAGTCTGTTAAGATTCTGCCTTGCGCTCAGGTTATGATCCCACAGTCCTGGAATCAGCCCTGAGTCAGGCTCCCTGCTCAGCAGGGGAGTCTGCTTCTCCCTCTCCCTCTGCCCCTCCCCTGCTTGTGCTCGCTCGCTCCCTCATTCACTCTCTCAAAATCTTTTTTTTTTTTAAGATTTTATTTATTTATTTGACAGAGACACAGTGAGAGAGGGAACACAAGCAGGGGGAGTGGGAGAGCGAGAACAGGCTTCCCGTGGAGCAGGGAGCCTGATGCAGGGCTCGATCCCAGGACCCTGGGATCATGACCTGAGCCGAAGGCAGACGCTTAACTGACAGCCACCCAGGCGCCCCTCAAATAAAATCTTTAAGAAAAAAAATCATGTCTCCAGGAATACTAAGCCCCTAATGGAAAGGCAGCAGTAGGTGTGGTTATTTAGATAATGACTGAAGGTAACACACCAATCAAAGGCAATTCTGTCAGAAATTTCTTTATCCTAGCTGAGTGACACTCAGATTTGGGCTGTGCATCAGAACACCTGGAGGGCTCGTGGAAAGCAATTGCTGGCCCCACCTAATGGAGTTTCTGATCTAGTAGCTCTGAGATGGGGCTCAAGAATTTGCATGTCTAACAAATTCACAGATGATGCTGAGGCTGCTGTCCTAGGACCACACTTGGAGAACCACTATCCAGGTCTTGTTACTCAAAGTGTGGTTCATGGACCAGCAATATGGGTATTGCCTGGGAGTTGTTAACAATGCAGAGTCTTCAGTCCCACCCCAGGCCCACCGAACTAGAATCTGCGATTTAACAAGATCCCCAAGGGATACCTATCCACATTAAAGGGTAGGACACATCCCTCCAAGGCAGTGCTTCCCCCAAAGCCAGTTGAGGGCATCTCTTGGAGTATATAAAATTCAGATTCCTAGGCTTTCCTCGTGTGACTTGGATTCAGAAGATGGAGGAGGAGCCCAGGAATCTGATACCGACAAGAACTTCAGATGATTATAATGGTCAGGTAAGAATGGGAAACTCCTCATTTACCTCAGTTCTGTGTTCCTCAGGCAAGACCAAGGCACAAAACCAGAGAAAAACCTCTCCCTCTGGGATCATGACAAGGCAGCTGCTTAAAACAGGAACTTGGGGAAGGTGGCTCCTTGATGGTCTGTGATGCCGTCAGAGGAAATGGGTGGTTGTGAGAACCACAGAGGCTGCAGATGTGAGCTGGGAACCCCAAGGACCCTATGACAAAGCTCAAAGAGCCCTGGGCCTTCTTCCCTGGCCTGGCTGTGCTTGGGAGGGCTGTCCAGGGTGGGGGGGTCCCTAAGAAGCACCAGTCTCCTGTCCCATCCCAGGTCTACAAACTGCTGACCACAGCAGATGCAGAGCCACACAAAGGGATACCAAGAACATCTCCCTGAAGAGTCTCCCAGGCTGAGAGGATTCTGGGTGTCCTAGGACTAAGGACTTCGGCAGATGTTCCGAAGGGCCTTCCAAAGCCCTAACCTCTCCAGCCAAAGCATGCATCTAAGCTGAGCCCCTGCCCCAAGCTTTGATGACAGGAAACCAAGTAAGTACATTTGCTTTTGTTTTCTGATGGCCCCGGGACTGTGAGGAAGGATGGTCCCCTCAGAGGCTGGGAGTGGGCTTTACAGTGGGGGGACAAGTTCCAGGAAAATAAGTTGTTCTGTTGACGATGTAAGAGGGTAGTTTTGAGGGTCCCTGAAGGAACCCAGGCTCCCCCATTCCACCTTTGTCCACCCCCCCCCAAGAATTATATTATGCCTGTGAGCTTGTCTTCATGCCTGTTCTGGTCCTATCTCGGTCACCAGCATGCTTGTAGGACTTTGGGGCCCCCTCTGGGCTCCAGCCTTCCAACAACAGTGAATGAGAGGAGTCTGAATTATAATCTCTGAAGGCATTTTCGGCTTAGAGTCGAAAGGGTGATGTTTCTCAGTTGAGAGAGAGGTCTCCCTTTAGCTCAATCCAAATTCATCACTCTTACTTTCACCACTAAAAAATAGCTTCAGAAGCACAAAAACACAAAAGACGTGGATTTGTAGACCCAGCTCTGCACTAACCAACTGCGTGAGTGAGCACGAGGTTGCCCTCTCTGAGCCCTTCTCTGAGCCCTAATCATTGTGAATGGGTTTCAAAGCTGCCAGGCTCTCACAGGATACAGTGAAAAGATCAAAAAACAACAGCAGTCAGTGTGCTGGTCTCAGCGGCCTTCACTCTTTCCTTCTACCCACTGGCTCGGGACCCCAAGAAAGTGCCTAGCACACAGTAAATTGTTCAATTAATTGTGCAATTAATTAGATTCTTTCTAAAGTTTTGACCAACATCACCTCCCAGGCCTGCATACCCCGTGGTCTTCATTTCACCCCAGGAAGCTGCCTGGCCCTGACTAGGCCAGGTGAAGGGAGCTGGCAGAGGTCAGGGAAGGGGGATGCTTCCAGCCTGAGTGTGGCTCTCCTACCTCTCTTGGGTCCATCTCCCAGCTCCACCTGCTGTAGGAAGAAGTCTTTGGGTTTAGTGCAATTGGTGATTGTGGTAACTTTGTCTTGCTGAAGGAGGGGAAGGAAACTAACCTTTACTGAGCACCCACTCTATGTCAGCTCCCCAAATTCTCCCCACAGCCCAGTGGAGTTGGTACTATCCCCAATTCAAAGACAAGACAGAGGCTACGTGCTTTGTGTGAGGAGGTCACACAGCTGGAGCCTGGTTGGTCTGAATGAATCACTCATGCTACCCAGGAGAGATCTCTCCCTGAGGTTTTCTGGACTCATGTCTGCACAGTTAAGCATAGAGCTTGTATCTGATACCCCAGGGGAAAGGATAGGCTAGGGAGCAGCAGGGATGTTGAAAACCTTATGTGAAGGGGAGCCCTAGCAGTGAGCGCATTAGAGATGTCCTCAGGAAGCAGAATTCTGTCTCGGCCTGCCAAGGCTTCAGGATCCCAAAGTCTGAGCAGGAAGTGGCTGCCAGGAGCCATTTCCTAAAGATGGGCCCGTTTTGTATTAAGGAGCTCCAGCCTTATGAGTACAGAACTCTCCATGATAATGACAGAAACCCATCCTTACCCAGGCATGGTGAAGGGTTCAAAGGCAAGGCCAGAGCCTGCTATGTCCCTGTGCCATTCCGTGAGCTCCTCCAGGGAACCAAGCTGGTATAATTATTCCTCATCTCCATGAAAAGGATGAAACCATCTGAAAGAATGAAACCACCTCCCTGAAACACTTCAATAAAATGTTTGAAAAAATTAGCATTACTCTGGAAATTAAAATTATTCTAAGGATAAGACACCTGTCCAAAGAGCTAATAATCACTTTGTCCATTTAGTTAATGTGTGTTGAGTGCCTTTTATGGGCCAGGTGCCTCATGAATTGTTGAGGAAACAGGCAAACAAAAATAGGTCTTTGTCCTCATTGAGCTATGGAATAATGGCAAATTAAACAAGTAAACACTCTAATAAATAAATAATTAAAATTTGGGAAGGGGGACATGCTGGCTCAGTCAGTAGAGCATGTGACTCTGGATCTCAGGGTTGTGAGTTCGAGCCCTATGTTGGGTGTAGAGATTACAAAATAAAATCTTTAAAAAAAAAAAGCAACAACCACCTTGGGAAGGAATGCAACAGAGCTGAGAAAAAGAAAAAAGGGCAAGTCTCCCAGGAGTGGCCCCTGGTGAAGCGACATTCAGAGCACAATAAAGAAAAAGTGTGCCCTGACCAAGCTTCTCACGTGCCTTATCTTTTGGACCCAAATGTTGGGTATTAGTATCCCCATTTTTCAGATGAGGAAATGGAAGCAAAGAGCAGGGAAGTGGCTGGACAGCCAATCCCTCCAAAGCCTTGCAAGTCATCACTGTGGTGTACAGTCTCCCAATCATCTTACTTTGCCCTATGACACCCATAACAGTGTGCTCAGTGTCACCTTAGCTTGTTAGGACACCAGCTCCCAAGCTTCCTCAGATCCCCCTTGCCCACCTCTAACCCTAGTCATGGATCCTCTCATTGTCCCCTGCCAGTGTGATCCCAGGTCAGGAAATGGTTCTGGGTAGATTATAGGAATGATGGCTGGGGGATTCTGAGAAATCTTCCCAGGGAAGGGTGGGATCCAGACAGGCCCCCAGGGGAAAGGGCAGTCCAGCAGTGGGAGGGGCCCCACACAGGTAAAGGCCCAGAAACAAAGAATAGAGCATGGCTGCGGCATGGAAAAGTGGGCCCACCAGAGGAACCAGGGTCCAGCTTCAGAGAAGAGAGCCTCCAGAATCTAGTGGAGGGGCTGGAGCCTAGTCCTGCTGGGAGAGGGATCATTCACTCTTGTCAGCAGGGCTGAGCTGGGGAGGGAGAGGGTGTCTGGGGACCAGGGCCTCTGTGTCCACTGCAGCATCTCTTTCAGATTTCTCTCGGCCATGTACTTCTGAGTGTTCTGCTGAGGAACGATGGGAGGTCAGCCCAGCAGAGGGAAAACCCTGCCAAGCCCAAGCTCGAGCCCCTCTGTCCAAGAACCGGGCCCTGTGCCCATGCAAGCAGGTAGGCTTCCCAGACACAGTAAGGCTTCATGGCCCCAGACATCGCTGCCTCTGTGAGCCTTCCTGACCAGCCACTCCAGCACAGCTTCAAGTTTCAATGAGCGCCTGCTATATACCAGGCCCTTCCCCGTGAACCATACAGGCAGGGTCCCTCCTCTGGAGGAGCTTACATTTCAGCAGTCAGAACACTGATAAGCTAGAAAATGTGGGAGAGTGACAGGTGCTGACCAGGAGAGCTTCCCTCCTCCTCAGTTTATTAGGAAATTGAGCTGGCAACTCTTAAGACCTCTCCAAAGGTCTTCAAAGCTCTCCAAAGCTGCCCTGTCCGTTATAATAGCCTCTAGCCGTCTGTGGCCATTTAAATTCAAAGTAAAATTCATTAAAATGAAATTAAGTTAAATATGTAGCTCCTCAGTCACACCAGCCGCATTTTGAGTGCTCAGTAGCCATATGTAGCTAGTGGCTACCTATCGGACAGCACAGTTATAGAACATTTCCTTCATCACAGAAAGTTCTACTGGATAGTGTGGCTCCAAAGTATATCTTCTTATCCCGTGAAATACTGGAAGCCAAATTAGAACTATGGCAGTTGGAAAAAACTGGGACCTATAATGCTTATGCTGAGCCTACGACTGTGATTTTCAAGATAGTCCTAACTAAAAAATGCCAGTTTTTAAGACAATGAGAAAATCAAAATATCCTAGAAATTCTATTATTTTCATATTGAAACTATAGGCCCAGTTTGTTTGTTGTTCCCCCAAACGACCCACAAATCCTTTCTCAAATCATATCCTGATTTGGGGTTTTGATGATGTATTCATCAGGGTTCTCTGGAGAAACAGAACCAATAGGGTATGTGTACATGGGTGTGTGTGTGGGTGGGTGGGGGTGTGTGTGTGTGTAGACACAGAATTTATTTTAAGAAATTGGTTCATGCAACTGTGGGGGCTGGCAAGGCTGAAATCTGCTGGGCAGGCTGGCAAGCCAGAGGCCCAAGGAAGAGTTAATGCTGCAGAATTCCAGAGTCAAGTCTGGAAATCCCTCTCCCTTGCAGGACCTCTCTTAAGATCTTCCACTGACTGGATGAGGCCCACCCACATTATGGAGGGTAATCAGCTTTATTCAGAGTCTACTGACTTAAATTGTTATCTCATCTTAAAAACATCTTCACAGCAACATCTAGACTTCTAGACTGGTGTTTGACCCAGTATCTGGGTACTGTGGGCTAGCCACATTGACACACAAAATTAACCATCACAGATAACAAATCACTCTAAACCAAGCAGCACTTTTAGGAGGAAGGACATGGACACACACTTAAACAGAACCAGGAGACTGTAGAGCCAAATATCTGGATGTCTGTGTTTGGGCAGAAGCTATCCCCAGTCTGGAAACTCCCCTGCAATGGCTGGGGCCTCCTCCCCTACCTCGGCCCTGCCCCTAATACATTCCTCTCTCTAATGCCAGCCTCCCACAGGCATTAACACCCTGGGCACTGTCATTCTCTTGGTGGGGAAGCAGCTGCCTCCTTTTAGTCACTCAGTCTGCAGGGAGCTGGGGGCCCACCAGGCCCTGCAGGAAGAGACCTGGAAACCACACAGACCTCCCCTTCATTTCCTCTGAATCTAGCCATAGGCTGCGGCCCCAAGGCTGCTCTGAGTCATGGCCAGAGTGCTGGGGGGCTGACCCCCAGTGGGTGCTCTGGGGGCTCTCCCTGCCTGTGAGACCTGAGGGGAACTGCATTTCCCTCTCTGACAGGGTCTCCAGGGGGAAGGAAGGGCCTGTCTCTTGGTATGTCAACCCCTGAGCCCAGCAGGAACACAGATTTGGGGCAGCCCCTTCCATGAGTCATTTGTCTATCAGCCTTGCATCCATCCAAAATCTACCAAGGCTCTACCCCATACCGGGCCTTGTGCCAGGAGCAGGGGGACATAGCAATGGACAAGATAGGCACAGTCCTTGCCTTCAGGGACAGTCAAGCCCCAGATACAGGCTCTGTTATAATTGTGTACAATTTTGGTGACAGTGCATTTTAAGGGACTCTGATTAAGAGTGTGTGCTTAGGGACTCATCAGGAAGGCTTCACCAAGGAAGGGACATTTTATCCAAGGCGTGAAAGGTGCAGGCGAGTCGGCCAGGCAGATGGGTCAATCGGGGACAGCATATGCAGCCCAGTGGCAACCAGGGGCACAATGCCAGGGCTTCCAGGGGGGGAAGGGGTCCTTCCAGGCCACTTGGTTTCACCCTTGTTGGAGGATGCTTTCCACAAGACTTGCTTGCATTGTTTATTCGGGCATCAGGCATTTCCCGGCACCATGGGACGGCCAGGCCCTATGCTGCTGATGGCTCTGAGGAGCTCCAGTCCAGGGTCACCACGTAGATCTGCACATGTGTCTGGGAGGACACATGGGAACCAGTCCTTTTCCAGGATCACAGTCTCATTCTTCCCATGTCCACCTGGAGTATAGGCCCTTATGCCACACAGTGTCCAGCTCTGGGTTTGCCTCACCAATGCCCCATCCCCTTGGTCCTTGTCTTTCCATCTGCTCTCTCTCCCCTATCTCTGGGGACATCTGTCTAGAGGGTATCACAGAACACTCTGAGGTCTTGCCTCCTGCAGGAGCATCTATGAGACAGATAAACTTTTCATGCTGACCTTGACTGCTTTTCATAGCTTGATACACTGATGTGCTGACAAGTGTGTCTCTCTTTTCCCTTTGTTTCAGAGACCCCTACTGAAAAGGGATGAAGAGGAAGGAGAGGGAGGGACACTGGGATGTGGGTGAAGTGAATCTCAGCAGCTTACGGAGGGCAGGTTTTTCAGGATGAGAAGGCCCAGACAGGTATCAGGAGGTCTAGTCAGACTAGGTGGGCTGATCCCTGAGGTAGATGAGGGCATGAGCATCCTGTGCTGAGGGAGCTGCTTGCCACCTACCATCCAACCTCAGAATTGTCCTCATGGCTGCCATGTCCTTGGGATCAATCTTGGTGTGATGGTGTGGGGGAGAGGGGAAGCTTGGCAGCCTCTGGCTCTGTGACTCCCTCTCTGAATGTTAGCGTCCCAGCGAGCCTGGGCCTTTTTGGAGAGGTGCTACTGCTGTCTAGCCAAGTCCCCCCAACCTGGGCCCATGAGTAGCCACAATGGTCACCCACCCCAACAGTGCCCCATGGGCAGAGGGATAGGGAATGGCATAGGAGCCATTCCTGGCACAGTGCCGTGTCTCACCTCAGTTGCCTCGCTGTGTGATGGGGCTGACCAGAGAGGACTACCTCAGGGGCTTGTGAGGTCCGGAGTGATGCACCCAGTCAGGCCCTGACACTCAGCAGTTGCTCAGTAAAGGATGGCAGGCATGTGGCCAGGACAGGACACTTGACTGGGCCACATGTACCTGTTGGGTGTCTGCTCTGAGCCAGGCCTGGCCCCGCCTCTTCTTGGGGCAGCACGGACCTATACCTGTCATTCTGAACAAAAGCCATGGGAGAGCCATGCTACCCACATGCATGGCACGCTAGAGTAACAAAGCCTGTCCACATCTGTGATTTCACTGGCCCTTCCACCAGCCCTCTTCCTCCCATGCGTACCCCGGACCTCAGCCCTAAAGGTTAGTCCATTCAGTGCCCACATCATTAGAACTTCCAGAAACTGCCTTCTAGAAACTGAGCTCCAAGATCTGTGCTGATACCTGCTTAGAGCTATAGTTTTTAAGTTTGCTGAGCAGCAGAATCCTTTTATCAAGATCTTCTTGAACGTCTCCATATAAAAAGCAATTGTAGCCAGGAGCCCTACTCCTCTTGCCACACCAGCCCTTTCCCTGAGTGACCCCAAAAGATGTCTGGGCATCTGTAGGGCTCTGTAGAGGCCACTGGAAAAGCTTCAGATTCCAGAGTAGCCCTCCTGGGATCCCAGCAGACATGCTCCCCAGGGTGTTCATGGTGGGGTTGGGTTGATGGTAGAAAGCCCAGACTCCACTAGACTTCACATGTGGAGAGAAGACTAGCCAAGAGGGTGACCATCTTTGTCCCTCCCTCCAGAGAGAAGCAGGGCCACAGCTGTGGCCCTGGGCAGTTTCCCAGTAGGCGAGCACACAGAGCTGTCACTGAGACCGGGGGATCCACTGACCATCATCTCTGAGTAAGTCCTGTCCTAATGGGGGGGAAGGGTGGGGAATTCTGCTTCCTCCCCCTGGCACCTGAAGATGCACTCATGGGAGAAGGGGCCCCTCACTCCGGGAGTAAAGAGCATGGCCTTTGGCACTGAGCTCACACGTGGCCCTAATCGTGGGATTTAGGAAGCCTGACACAGCTGTAGGGAGAAGCCTTGGGTAGGCAGGGCCTTGAAGGGGGCCCTGAATCGTGCCATTTCCTGCCCAGGAGGTAGCAGCACTGGCCGGTGCAGGTGGAAGGAGCCAGCCTGGCAGGTCCTCAGGAATCCTAAATGAGCAGTTCCCCTCTCCTTTCTCTCCCCAGAGATGGAGACTGGTGGACGGTGATGTCAGAAGTTTCAGGCACAGAATACAGCATCCCCAGCAGTCATGTGGCCAAAATCTCCCATGGGTGAGTTCACACCCCAGGCCCTGCCTTAGGGGAACTTCCTGCTTTCTCTTCCCACGAGCGTGGTTCTTTATGGCCAGTTCTGTGCTGAGCAAAATGGGACAGGGGAGAATCAGGCCTGGGCCCTGCCCTCAGGAAGAGTGAACAGCTAGCCTGAGCTCTCAGGTCGGCCTGCGAGACTTGGGAGCCCAGAAGAGGGGGCTCAGGAAGGCCCCACAGAGATGTCCTCTGGGCTTTGGAGGGTGTCCAGGAGTCAGTGGAGGAGACTGCTGAAAGGAAGCAGCTGCATACGTGTCCTAAATGTCCTGAGGCAAGAAAATGGAGGGGTGGCGCCCCATATCTTGGCAAGTCTGCCCTTCTAAGAGGGGCCTCACAGTGGGCAGGACATGGGGGATGCCATCGCTTGCCACGAGTGAGTGACAAAAGAAACCAACTCCAGAGCAAATTCTATGTCATGAGAGAGAAAGGAAGGGAACTGCCTTTCGGTGGGATTAACCCGCATAGCACAGAGTCAGGAGGTATGCTGTGTGTGCTGTGATGGCTGCTCTTCTGTTCTGAGAGAAAGTACAACTCTGGCACTGGGTGGCCTTCCTTCTCTGAGGCTCACGGGATGTCTGGCTCTGGTGAAAGTAGTGCAGGGCTCCCGAGACGTGCGGACACCTCGCAGAATCAGCTCGCATAGAGGTTGTTGGCACCCATGTGTTTCCGGCTGGCCTGGCCCCACTGGCCAGAGGTTTTGCATCCCCAGCGTGGCACTGAAGTTTCAGCCAAGGAGACACTGGCCACCTCTCAGAGTCCCCTTCCCTTGCCACTCTGTCTGCTTCCTCCATGTTTGTAAGTCTTATGAATGACTTGTTTTATTTACTATAAAACTAGGCTAAGTTTGCTGCTGGCACCAAGCGGGTCACAGCTTCTCTGATTTATCTCCTTGGAATGGACTCAACCCTGACTCTGAATTTGACTATGGAATTTCACACGATGACAGGGAGGCAGCCATTTCCATCGAGTTGGCTTCTGTAGGTTTTCCCCGGGACCATAAGGCATGACTCTGGGGACATTAGAAGGCTGATGGACTAGTAAGCCAAAAAATTCCTGCAAAACCACCCTGAACTTTCCATTGCAGTTAAGTCCTTCATGGACATATAGGTGAAGGATTAAGTGTAGGAGAAAGGAAAATAGGGGGCGAGGGTAATCAACAATCCAGCAGTGAGAGGCCCCGAGGAATAGGTCATGAAGATCTGTGCTTTGGGAGGCACATACGGTGATCGATATCTTACATGATTATTTCCAAGATTTTAGAATGTCTTGAACATTCTAGTCCAACATTTCTACCCACAAATAAGCTCCAATGGGAGTTAGATTTCACTGATAATGAATACATGTTCACCCACATGTCTTTTGGCTGCAAAGTTAAACTTTAAATTGTTCAAAGAAAATATTTACTACAATTAAACACACACACACACACACACATAGGCAATTCTTGGAAAGGTGAGTGGCTAGCATAGGGGTGCTAGAGGAGCTGGGCAGTGATAGGAGTCTATGATCACCCCACCTTCCCCCAGCCTCCTGGCCACTTGGGAATGAGGTCTCCAGGCACAAAAGGCTGGGGCTGACCCCATGAGGTTGTCCTCTGCAGCCTCTGGAACCAGGACCAAGACAAAGCTGGGGGGCCCTTAGAGACCAAGGTACAGATGGAACTCTGAGGCCCAGAGAGGGAGGAGGGGTTTGAGTAGAGTCTTGGCTCACCCATGCCCAGGCTGACCTCTCTCTGTCCCTCCCGCAGGTGGCTGTATGAGGGCCTGAGCCGGGAGAAAGCTGAAGAACTGCTGTTGCTGCCTGGAAACTCTGGAGGGGCCTTCCTCATCCGGGAGAGCCAGACCAGGAAAGGTGGGTAAGCTGAGCCCTGGCTTGTCCCTCGAATGCCAAGAGGTGACTTGGGGGTATAGGTAGGAGGTCAAAAGTGAAGGGCTGGAGTACCTGGCCTTGGAGTCAGACAGTTTGGCTGACTGACCACCATGTTGCTGCCATGAAAGCCCATTTCTAAAAGTGGGTGTGAATGGCCCACAGTGGGGATCCAGGCTCAGCCTACACTTTGGCCATTGGGTCTTGTAATAGAGTATAGTCACAGGATTTCCCTGCCCAGACCAGCAATGATTCCTCCCTCCCCAAAACACAACACAGTCCTGATCTCTTGGCAAAAAGTTGTCAAGTTCATGAGGTCTCTGTGTTCTGGGTCACCAGTCAGTCAAAACCAGAAAACTCATTAGAAGTCAGCTGTTGATCTTCTTTCTATTGTACAGATGAGGAAGATGGAGAAACAAAGGCTGAAGAGGGGTAGGGACATGTCACATTGCACATTCCTATGGGCCTTCTCCCACCTCAGGTATAGGACTTTTGCAAACACAAAGCTGATAGAATCTGTCTCTGATGCCCCTGCCTCCCTCTGAGCTACTGCCCTGCAACCCTTACAGTGGGGGCAGAGAAGGACGTTGAAAGAGTGGCGATGCTGATGTTTATGGTAGGCCCTTTAAGTGTCTTCAAACAACCCTGTTTGAAGTTTGAAGGATTGTAGTTCCCCATTTTACAGATGAGGAAACTGAGGCTTAGGGAGGAGAAACAATTTGCCTGGGTAGACATAGCTATGAAGCTGGGATTCAAACCCAGCTGAGGTCCTCCTCACTTCGGACACCCAAGAAAGGCCCATGTGTCACAATGGTGGAATTGCAAACTCAGTGGTAGACTAGGGTGGAGAGACTCAGGAATGACAGGCCTCCTGTGCTTGCCCTAATTTAACCAACCATAGTGGGTTGTCAGGGTCCTTTGCTCTCAGTCTCCCTCCCAGGGCCCCCTGCAGCACATCTTTGCCTCTCCTCCCCTTCCTTCAGAAACTCGCTGGGTTGACCTCTCCCCAGCCCCTCCTGCTACTTTCCGGACAGCATTACCATCCCCCCTTACACCCAAAGGCTGGCTGGGGCTTGAGGCTGGCCTGAGTGTAGGCTGCAAACAGGAAACCACAGCACTGGAGCTGATTGGGGCAGGAGTGCTGCAAACCAGGCCCTAGTGAGCTTGAGAAGCCACAGGAAGTGCTCTGTGCTCAACTGCCCCATCCCCACCCCTTCTCTGGCCTGGTTTAGCCACAACTGCATAGTGACCAGCACTTACTGCTCCTTCCTTTTTTTTTTTTTTTTTAAAGATTTTATTTATTCATTTGACAGAGAGAGAGACAGCGAGAGAGGGAACACAAGCAGGGGGAGTGGGAGAGGGAAAAGCAGGCTTCC